GCAGGACTTGAAATAAAATTAAATTTTTAGCTGCAGAGAAAGTAAAGCCCATCCAGCCCTGCCAATGCTGAATGACTAAGGAGTACACTGCTGCTCTTGTGTACCCACCCAGAATATGGCAATCTTGTATATTTACTAAACATGTTGGTTCTTAGCTTTAATTGTGAATTATTCATGTTTTGTTAATACTAGATTCCCTAGAGTATCTATTTATAGCATGCATGATGAAAATTTTCATTGAATTTAACAACTTTTCTTTATGACTATCAGAATGAGGATTTAATGACAAAACATGCCTCTACTAGTTCTTCCTCCCCACCTCTCTGCAGAAAGCTGAATTTTAACTTTGAGTACATAAGGGAAAATGATAATCCAAAAGATAACTGAACAACAGACTGACAATTTGGAATGGAAAAGAGAACATAATTTAAAAAATATATTGTATCACAGAAACCCTCTCTGTGGGTTTATTTGACTCTAATAGACTTCATATTGCTTCTAGTACCTTAGGTGCAGGTTATAATTCAATTACCATATTCTATTGCCATTTTCTGCACCTCTGAAGAGACTATCTCCTTCGCAATAGCAATTTTACCATTATAATAATAATAAGGAATTTCTAACACTTCATTTCACGGAGTGCTTATACTACTGTTTCCCCGATGTGTGTGTTCTGGGTTATTCTTGAAATTAAGAGAGCTTTTTGTGATGCTCAGAACTGAAGTGAAATAGCAAATCCATTAAGAAGATGATAGGTCTTATTTTGAGTCCTGATTCCGCAAACTGTTCTGCATTTATAAAGCCTTAATCCTCATGCTGTTTTAATCGTTTTATAAGAAAAGTCTAATTTAGTTGGCAAATTATAAAAAAGTGAAATTAATTTGCTGCTTGCCAGTTTCTCATCAGCATTCTACAAGCCTCAATTAAATTAGTATATTAAACATGGGAATGGAAGAGGATATTGCGAATTTAAATATCACAGATTAAGGCAAATTGTACAGTGATGCTATAAAACTCAAAGTATTGATCCAAATACATTAAAAGAAGAATCCTCCCCTATATCAAACAGCATAATAAAGCTGTGGAACTTTCCTGGCTATATAATCACTCTGAAAGTAAGCTGAAGTCATTCAGTAACTCACTAGAATGCAAAGATCATTTCAAAGCATTACATAGAAAAAGAAAATAAAACTCCTATGGTATGAAATGCTTCCAACTCCAAAATTTAAAGCTGCATTTAGATGTAGTTTAACAAATTAAATTATCCCCTTTCATGCATATTTGTAGAACAGTTGAGTTGGTGACAAAATCCTTCCAAATGGCAAATGATACACATTTCAAATAACCTGCCCCTACTTCTATTTACTCTAGAAATATTTCTGAAGTACAGGAAAAAAAAAAGAAAAAAAAGAGTACACAGTAAAGTATGGCCATTCAAGAGCACTCCAACAGTTACTCAGCATCAGGTAACAGGAACTCATAAAGGCAAAGCAACTGAAGCTTCTGGCTGGTCTAGATCATCAGCAGAATGAAAATGGTACAAGAGGTTGCAGAAGGAGCTTTAAAATGACCTGCAGCTTAAATGAGGTGAATGAGCTGATGTAAGCAAGAGTCAAATAAAAAAATGCTACATGCTGACACAAAAACAAATAGATGTGAATCAGCCGTAGCTCTAAGTAGGCTAGAAATTATAAAGGAAGGTATGAAAGAATCTTCTAGCAGGTGGAGGGGAGGAAAACACTTAATGAGTTTTAATAAGAAGAGTGATCGTTTTATCTGCAAGATTATAGAATATGGCTGCTTTGATAACAAGAGACATAATAACATTTTAGGATGTTCCTTTCAATTGTATGCTTTAAGCAATACAAGAAGCACACAATTGGTCTTTAACAGAAATTTTGGTAACATTTCTTACAGACATACATGAAGTAATTGACTATTACCAGGATAGGTTTAAAAAATCAAGTTGGTGGAATACTGTGGAGAGGTTGACTTGACTAGAGTTAAAATTGGTTTAGGGAGTACAGCTTTTAGGCAGATGATAGATTCTCTGGTGTCCAAGAACTCTTTCATGCCTTCCCCCATATTATCTTCATGTAGTGGAATAAAATTGCCCCCAAAACTTGGTGGTAAGAGTTTTTTACCTTCGTAACAACAGCTAGTAGAGTTAGACAAATCCTGTAAGTTTTTAAAATGCCCCTTCCACATAGGAATCAAACCCCTTTCCACATCATAGATTATTTACTCATTACTTTTCCAGATGTCAAGGTTTTCTCTTGCTTTATCAATGTCATACTTCTTTCCCCACTCAAACTCCCCTTTAACCATATCTTACTGAGAGCATTCATTTTTTTCTCACTTCCACTGCTCCCCAAAGTATCTCTTTTTCCACCTCTTCCCCATCTCCTTTCAACACAAGTTATATTTTTCTTCCCTTCCTGAAAAAAACAAGTTTGGCTGTGCCTTTTTATTCTTTTCCCTAAATAACTTCCTTCTGTTTGCTCCTGCCTCTCATAATGAATGCTGTGTGAAAATTTGCAACTCTTTCTTTTCCACAATATGGATTTTGCTCTCTCAACCATGCAATGAACTTTCCTCCTCTCGAAGTACCAAATTTTCCCATTACACTTTTCCATCACTTGTTGTTTCCATACCTAGATTATTCCAGTCTGTCAACATATTTCCCCTTTTAAAATTTCACTGAATTTGTCCCATTTAACATTTCTTTCTCAATTCCACAATCTAAACACTCACCCATTTTTCAGAAGACCATACCAATAGTTGTTGCTTATTTACTGGGAAAATATTTCACATACTAAGGATACTCCCATGGCTAAATAATACAACACCCTCACGCATCAGATAAGCACATAGCACAAGTATCTCAAGAAATTTTAATTTTTAAGAATATTGCAATTCATTTAAAAACAACCTTAAAATCCAGTAACTCTAATTAGAAGAGTGCTTGAAATGGCAGCTTAGTTGTTTCAGATGGCAGTTCTATCAGAATAAAAAAAATTGCATCTACATCTGTACCGAAAATAACCACTATGGAAAAAAAAATTAAAATGAGTTACATCTAGTCAGTTTTAAACAATTTAATAGGAGTATTTCCCGCAATGCTACATACAAGAAACTATTTTAAATAACATTAATACAAACTAAGAAAAGTCAGAGAACCTGAAGTTAGAAAGATTTCATCTTTCTCTCACATAATAAAAGACATAATACATATGATTCATTTAAACAACTGTATTATCATAACTGTAAGAAAAAGCTTAAATAAAAGTGTTTAAATGAAGAAGCTAAAAGTCAGGCATCTATATCCATGTGTAGGCACTGAATAGCTGGTTTAATTTTCAGAACTGCAAACACTTTCAACTTCCACAGGGTTTAAGGTGACCCACACCTATAGAATTCCCATTAACACTTATCCACATAAGTAATTTAATTCATCTGAGTAGGTCCATCAAATTAAAAGGGAGGATTTATAAGCATAAGTCACATGACTAACGTTTACAGGATTACAACATATGCTGATATATGGATTTAATTGTCCAATTTAAGTCTCAAAATGTAAAACTTTCAATCACAACCTTTAAAACATGAGTTGTTTATTTAATTATGCATCTAGGATGCATGCTATAGTCTTTAAAAACATGTGACATGAGGAACTCCCACTAGATTTTAAAAGAGTACTTAGTACATTTTTTCAAAGTCCTCATGATCAATGTATTATTCAAAATATTGAGGTATACAAATAAGATAAATTATTCAGAAGAGTAATTTTCCTTATTGACCATATTACTTCCACAGTTTGAAAGCACAGATTCCTGCTTAGAAATGGGTGACATAAATAGCTCTGAAATTTTAGAAGTTTATGTAACTTCCTAAGTGCCTAAAATGGAAACATTATCTTTTATACCCCAAGTTTTAATCAGGGATCAGAATTTACATTTGAATCAACACCTCTAAATACTTCATAAAAATCAGGACACTGGCCATCACAACACCATTAATACCAGTTAGTTAAACATCTTTTCAGTTGCTAAATGAAAATCCACTTTCCAACACAAGGAGTTTTAATCATTCATCCATTATTATTGATCAGGTCAGTGGCACATTATTTGTCTCTACTATGTTTTTGTTCTAATAAATCACAACAGCAAAATAATTAGGTTGCTCTTTTTAGCACAAAGAAAAAGGGTTCAGTCCTGCAGACACTTCAAGTGTCTAATTGTATAAACACTGATGGTCATATTAGTACACATAAAATAAAACTTGTGACAAAATGCTTACACAATCAGGTTTCAAATCACCATTAGAGTTATTATTGATATCAAGTCTGCAATGGTCAGAGAGCTACAGCACTGAAATTGCAAGACAAGAACATATCATCAACTAATCAGGTAATAATGTCTATCAAACTGAATTCATCTGAGGTCTACTAACCACTTCTGTGGCAAGATGAAA